CCCTCTAACCCAGAAAGCAGGGCCTTTGTGCTTCTGACTCTCCCAGTATCTGTAGTTTTGAAAATGAACACTGACTCCTAATACTTCATTTCTTCTTTTTCCACTTTCCTGACACATTCTCTGCACTTCTATGGACAAATTGGAGAGAACTGTTTTTACCAAGGGGCCAGCTATTCCATTGTTTTATTAGATCAAGACCTACTCAACTAAAAATCCTCAATGACCAGCTATTTAGTCCCCTTTCTCCGTTCCACGAGCAGTATGAAGCAAACAGGAAACATCATTGCCCGGGCATAAACATAGTGTCCATAGTATCATACAGAAGTTGTACATGGGCTGTCCCACGTGTCCGAGTTCCACTCGGAAGATGGAAGCAGGAAAATGACCTGCTACAGAATTTATAAAATTGACCATGCTGAAGGAAAAAACAACGTGCAGTGCAACAATGGATTTGTTACAAAAAATGTAAAAGAATTTTCTACATTATTTTAATTTCTGGAAACATCATTAGTAAGCATAAGCAGCAGAAATATCTTATCCGAGTAAGTTTACTGCTGGGCATTTAACTACAGGTTGCACCTCCTTAAACTGGGACTCTCTTGTCTAGCAACATCCGTGGCCCAGCAGAACCATGGATGTTGCTGAACGAAAGAGGCTCAGCAGACAGGCAGCGGTAGCTGGGCCATACTAGCGAGGCAGGGGCAGCCTATATGTGCCGACCTGGCAGCAGGGTTGTGCCATGGCAGTCCAAGCAGGGCTGCGTGCCGGCCTGGCAGTGGGAACAGAGCTGTGGCACCCTGGCTGGCAGTTAAGGCTGGGCTACGGCAGCCCAGCAGAAGAAGCCTGTCTGGAGCCATGGCAGGTAGGCAGCTTGACTGGCAGTATGTCTGGAGCAGTATGGCAGCACGGCTGGGGGCATTGCATTGCCCAGCTGACGGAATGACCAAAGGAGCTGGCGGTAGGGAAGGGCAGAAGGCTAAGGGGCCAGAGGCAGAGGGCCTTCCCTGGTCTGGCAAATTCCCTCATCCGGGACTACTCAGATCCAGAGGGTGCCGGACCAGTGAGGTCCAATCCGTACAATTTTAGCAGACTTCCATGAAAACTAACCCACTCAGTAACATCATTTGAGCCATAGAGTATCATGTTTGCTGCAAAAAGAATGCAGAAGCAACTTACAAGAACCAATGGGTTAAAAATGCACATAATTATTATATACAGGCAGTCCCCAACTTACGTTGGATCCGACTTATGTCGGATCCGCAGTTACAAACGGGGCTGCCCCAGAGTACATGGACTGCAGGACCTCGCGGTCCTGCCGCCTGTGTACTCTGGGGCTTTGCTCTGCGTCTCCCTGGTCTGCAGACCAGGAAGACGCAGAGCCAAGCCGCGGGGGGGCTCCGGCCA